CTGGAAACTGGCCAAACCTCTGTCCAGCTTGACGCCACTGATCTTGGCAGCCAAGGAAGCAATGAAGAGTAACCGCTAACATCACTGCCACAGCCTTCTGCCTTTCTGTTTGTTTGTACTCTACAAATCTTTATAATATATGAAATTGTTACACTTGGGGGGGAGGGAGGGGTTTTTGGGGGGTGGGAAACCTGCAAAAGGGAAGAAACTCTCATCCAGAAGACACTCAGAATACATTGTGGTGACTCTAGCGATCCCTGTCTGGGGTCCAGAAGGAATTGAGGACTGAATTCGTGGCCTTTGTGTTTTGTTGTAGTTGGATTATATTTTTTTCCCCCAGGCAGCCCAGAAATGCCACTCGCTGTGCCCCCAGGGGGTGTAAGGGTTTGTAACAGCTCCTGTTCCTTGTGCCCTCTGGGTACCTCCAATACTTGAATGACAGTTCAAGCTTTCAGAGAGCAGTACTAATGTTACCTGCTGATCTCTTTGACTCTTCTCTTCCTCCTCTCTCCTTCTGGCTCTTCAGTCCCTCTGGGGAGCTCCACATGACTAGATCCATGGCAAGTAAAGGTACATCTTGCCCCTCACTTCCTTTATGGATGTGCTGTCGCTGTACTGTAGAATTGACAACTTTGGCTCCTTAAGGAATCTTGATGTGTGGAGATGTTTTTCACTCTTTAAGATGGGTAAGGAGAGAGGGGGAAGAGAAGTTTTCACTTGTTTCTCATATGCCTGTGCTCTGTGGACTCTTCTAATCAAAACTGTGGCCTCTGTGTGGAGCCGTCAGGATCGGTCGAGTCTTGGATGTGGGTTATGGACGCGTAGGTAGGGGTCAGATACCTTATTTATGATCAAATGATCAGTTCTAGTCAGGGCAACAAAAAATTCCAGCTGTCTTCCTGTCTGCTCTTTTTCCCCTGTTAGACTTGCTGGCCAGAAGCTTAAGGGACAACGTGCTTGGTGCGGTGGGTGGTTGCCCAACATGTATCTGTGCTCTGACTTGGGCTTTGGAAGTTATGCTGGTGCCTTTGACTTTTTTATTTTACATTTCCCTTCTTTGTATCAAATACATTTTTGTATATGTTGTAATTTCCCCCCCCTTCTCTCCCCAAGCAAAGAATGCATCAACCTCTGGAGTTGTCAGAGTTTTAAGTATCAGAGCTATTTTTTCCAGTTTTGTATGTGCTCCATTTGTACTAATGAAACCAGAAGAACAAATCGCCAGATCTGAGGACACTGAAGATGCAGGATTTTTGAAAAGATGATCCAGGCAGAAGCTGATGAACACCTGGAGATGCCAGAGCACTGTTCTGAGGTGGGAGCTGAGGGGAGAGCGGTGCTGCCAGACGTTCATGGCCTGCTGGACCGGCTGGTTTGAGGCTGAGGGGGCTTGTCACACTAATCCTCCTCACCACAGACATTGTCCCAGCCAGGATGGCTGCAGTCAGACCTTCAGTGCAAGAAGTGCCTCCCTGTGAAGGACAGTGAGAACCGGAGTGGTTGAGTTCTTGGGGTGTTAGCAGGGGTGAGTGTAGCAGAGCCTGAGTCCCTGGCTCCTTGCAGCGCTGCACTCGATGCATTTCAACCTCCCCAAGCGGTTAATGAAGAGCCAACTGTAGTAACCATGTGCCAAACGAGTCTGTGAAAGAGCAACCACGGCTTCAGTGGGATTTTACTGCATTCCCAGTGCAGCAGGGCCTGGGACAGGCAGAGTTATTGTTGGGGGTGGACAGAGGACCCTGGTTAAAACCTTTTGCACACTTTTCCAAGCATTGCTGGCAGGAGATAGGAGTCAGAGAATTTCAGTGTTTGTAGAGTGGCAATTTGGGGACTGGTAGCCAAGGCATGACAAAAGCAACTGCCAGCCAGGACAGGAGAGGCTGTTTGGAGTGAGGATGGAGGGGAACAGGGCTGGGGTCCCACCTGGGGATGGTGTGGTACCTGCAAGGTGCCTTGTGCAGGTTCAGCTTGTGTTCTGCTCCTGTGTGGGAGTTAATATCTCCCTTGGGTAGCTCCAGGAGTGAATCCCTGTAGCTGTAAGTGTAAGAATGGTTATAGGTTTAAATTCAAGAAAGTGTCTCATTCCAGGCAAGGAAATCTAGATGCATTTCCCAGGAAAAAAAGTATTTATTCCAAGCCATGGGCACTGAACACCCTGCTCTGAGTGTGCCTGGCTCCCTGCTCAAAGGGAGCAGTGAGGAGGCTTGGCTGAGGAAAAATCCCTCTTGTACCAATGATTCCCTCTTTGTCCATTGCTGGCAATGGACTTGGTGAAACTCTTTGTGCCAGAGTTAAACTGGGAGCTTTTCTTTCTTTCCTCTTATTCTTTTTTTTTTGTTTTTTTAAATGGCACAATCTAGATAAATTTAACTTTTTAAAAATAGAAATCAAGAAATCATAAGTAATTTTAACTTATTAGTTCACTTTTATCGATGATGAGAAATGGTTAAAACATATGTTACAAAAATTTGTCCGATTTAATCTACTTAGGAGATGATTTCTGAATTTTCAGCCACTAGGCCCAATCCCAAAGTTCCCAAAAACATATCTGTGTGCCCTGGGAAGGTGTTTAGCTCTGAGGCTGAGAGGTGGCAGCATCTCCCCCATGCAGCAGCAGTTGGGTGGTGAGGTTGCTCACCCCTCACTGCCAGGATCTGGGGTCAGAGGTGGAGCTGGCAGGAGAAGGAGAGCCAGGAGGAGGATTTTGTGCTGTGCCAGAGTGTGTTGGAGGCTCAGGCATCGCGTTCCCAGCAGTGCCTGCCAGACTGAAAACTGCAAGCTGTGCTTTTATCCCTGGTGGGAGCAGTTTGGGTCCTTAAGGCTTGGTGCAGAGCTGGGCAGCTCTGCTGTGTCACGGGGCAAACAGACACCAGCCAGAGCTCCGGGAGGGGATGGATTACATCCCAGTGTGGAGATTCCCCTGTGTCTCTCAGGTGCCCACAGGAGATCTTGAGTCAGGATCAAATCCACCCGTGACACGTGGTGGTGTGGGCAGCTGATGGCTGAGATGTGCAGGGATTGTGAGACTCCTGGGATTCTCTCGTGAGCACCGGATAAACCAGGCTCCTCACTGAAAACAGCCATGGGAATGTGTACTTTGCCCTACCTTAGGTGTTAGGAGAGGTGAATTGGAGCTCTCCCCAGCTCTCCCTGCAGGGAGGTGGGAAGGTTTGGCTGGAGCAGGTGGGTCCCCTTGGTAGAGGGGCTGGGAGGGAGCAAGGAGGTGGTCAAGGGTCTCTCCAGCTGGGCTTGAGTCAGTAAATCCCTCTGGTCTGTTTTTCCCTCTGTTCCCTATGCTGTGGATGAAAATGGAAGTAGGTGCAAGCTTTCTTTTTATTTTTTTAACTGTCTTCAGATGTTAATGTTGCCTTTTGTGTAATTTAATCCCATTATGTTATTTAATTGTTACTGCAATATTAACTACTGTATTTGTTGACTTTGTTTAATAACTGTTCTTTCAGGGCTAGAAATAAACTTTTAAAAAACATTTGGGGCTTTCCTCCTTTTCCATGTCACGAGTTTGTACCTTCTAAGACAAGAGGAGCTGAAAGAGTTTGTGTCAGTGTCTTACTGAGACTACCAGAATGGTTTGGGTTGGGCCTTGGATGGGTTGCTGGGTCCCCTCATGTCCCAGGCCTTGGCCATGGGGCTGCAGGTTGTGTTTTATTACAGAATCTCAGACTGGTTTGGATTGGAAGGATCTTAAAGCTCATTTCATCCCACCCCTGCCATGGGCAGGGACACTTCCCACCAGCCCAGGGTGCTCCAAGCCCCATCCAACCTGGCCTGGAACACTCCCAGGGATGGAACAGCCACAGGAATTGGAGCCAAGCAGTAGCAAAATGAATTTTTGCTCCTTCTGGAAGAGCTGACAGCCCTGAGGAGCCACGGTGGGCTCCGTGCCTGGTGGGGAGAACACTGGGACCTGAGGGCTGGGACAAGCAACCTGAAAGCTGCTCCAGCTGTGGAGGCTCCCTCTGTTCCCCATGGCAGCTGCCACTGCCCTGAGGAGAGGCTACACATGTGGCACTTCCCAGGCCTGTCAGGCTGTGCCACGTTTGCTTTCGTGTGGCTTTATAAAGAGGAGGTGCAGGAGCTTCCTTGGCTCCTTCGTGGGGTTCCATCCAGACTCTCACCATGGCTGGCCTCAACGTCTCCATTGCTTTCTTTTTCCTGGCTATTGGGCTGTGCCAGGCACTCAGGTGGATCTCCAAGAGGCTTCTGTCTCCTGGAGTATATGGCTGCCTGGCCAGAGAACTTGCTGGCTCTTTGCAGCTGTGCACGAGCTGCCTCGAGCTGAGGATGCTGATGGATATTGGTCCCTGGGGCGGTGGATTTGGCCTGGACGTGGTCCTGACTCTGCTTTTCCTCCTGTTCGCGGTGCACAACGCATCCTTAGATGGAGCATCTGCCAACCCAACCGTCTCCCTGCAGGAGTTCCTGCTCCTGGAGTCCACCCCAGCACCCACAGCTGCCAAGCTGCTGGCCCAGGCCGTGGGCATGGGGCTGGGCTGGGCTGTCACCAAGCTGTACTGGTCCTGGGAGCTGACACAGTTCCACTTCATCCAGAACCTGATCGCGTCGGAGTGCAGCTCCTCCATCCACACCTCCCTGCCCCACGCTGCCTTCGTGGAGGGCTCCTGCTCCTTCCTCTTCCACCTTGTGCTCCTCAGGTCACGCCAGAGCCACCCCATGTACCGCATCCCTGCGCTGGCAGCCACTGCCACCTTCCTGACCTACGCAGGTGAGCAGCACTGCCAGTTCTCCTCTGTGTCTTCTAGAACAACACCTAATTCCTGGGGGAGGGACAGCCTTTCTTTCTCTTCCAGGGCTGCAGAGGTTGTGATTAACGAGGCAACAATTGCAGAGATGTTTGGGTTTTGCTTATTTTGGGGAGCACTCACTTTGGGATGAAGGCAGCAGTTCAGGATACCTAGACAACAGGTGAATGGTGGGTCATGAGAAGCCACAGCTTATCCCAAACTGGGACCACTTACCTTGAACATTCCCTGAGGCAACCCCTCGGTCCTGCACTGAGGTCTTCTGCTCCCCACAAAGCTCAGGGCAACAAGGTTGGGATTCCCTCAGTCCAAGAGATGCTCCAGGCAGGCAGGAGGGGTCGTGGGTCTTGTGGCCCAGCTCCTTGTTGGCCTTTCAAAGGATGCAAAGGGAGACTTGACCATGTTTCTCTTCCCACACAGCTGGGCCATTCACAGGGGCCTTCTTCAATGCTGCCCTGGCCACAGCCACCACCTTCCACTGCTCAGGGAACAGCTTCTGGGACTACGTCCAGGTGTACTGGCTGGGGCCTCTAGCAGGTGAGACCTTCCCAGGGCACAGGGGCTGGGAT